AACATCAACACGTGAAGATCTGTGAGAAAATCAGCTGTGAAAAAGGTGTGTATGGTTTTCTATAGAGTTCCCTGTGCATTTCAGGGACCCCAAGATTTAACAAGCCACTTTTAGTTCATTAAAACACTATGTAAAACATTCTTTCATCTTCCTACATGGTTTTTAACAGAGTCTTTTTCTGGGGAAATTTAATATATGCTTTTCAACAATCACAAAGAACTCGATTGTCGGATGACAGGTTGTCTACACGCAGCTTGACTCAGCCAACCATTACATGAGTGTTTTCAGTTCATCTGAACACAAAATTATGTTGACGCAAGTTCAATTTAAATTTATTTTCTCTTATTTAATAAATCCAGATTTCTAGGGAAAAAATAGACAACTTCCAGATTACTGTATGTGAAAGCCAAAGCTGAAAGGTGGGGTTTCTTTTTATTAGGGCTTCCTATGCTAACACTGACACCTGGGCTCCTAACCATCTTAGCTTAAAATTCATGAAGACGTATTCCCCAACTTTTAGTTCAGTAAATTATCAGTGCTTCTTATACTGTAACCTCAGGAAACAAAGATGTTTCTGAGATGCTTAAAAGCCAACAGAGCAAAGAGAGAATCTCATACAGTTGACCATAACATAAAGCTTGACAGAAGTGTAAACAAAGTTCTATGAGTATCAAGAAGCAAAAGGCATTCCACGTGGATGGGTCACAATTGCATCACTAAATAATTTTAGGGCAGAAGAGGGAATACAAAACCAAGCAGAGAAAGGAGGGAAAGCAGAGGGAATTGCATGTTTGGCTTAAGGCTGACTGAGGCACTCCTGCGGATGTGCAGGACACCGTGCAGAGCTGCCAGAGCAGGCACACGGTCTCACAGGGAAGACCCACAAACAGCAAGACTCGGCCCTCTGGGCAGAGTGCAAATGTTAAACAATGTCAAATACGAGAAAAATCTGATCAGTTCCGTGTCCAAAATTTAACAGCAACAGCAGTAAAGGAGAGATTTAGACAGTGTGAACACAATAGTTCATGGGGACCTCAATTATAGCAACAGAGGTAAGAATAGAGAAACATTTCAAAAAAGCAGGCATTTCAGAGGGAGGACCGGCAGGACTCTGGGACCAGATACAGCAGAGAGAAAAGAAGTAGTGTGAAAGATGATTCCAATTAGGAAAAGAAAAAGGGGGTTGTGGTGCCAAGAAAGCAAAGAGGAGTAGGCGGCTGAAGAATATGCATGCTCTCCATCCCAGGTGATGAACGCATATGAAATGGGGAACATAATCACTGCTCAGGACATGTCCTGAGAGAGATGAGAGCCAACGTCAATGGCTTGGGGGAAATTAGTGCCAGGCAAAGGAGACAAAGACAAAATGATTTAAAGGGAAATGAAGAGGAATGGGAGAAAGTAACCCCCCCAAAAGGGGGGGAAATTATAGGAAAAATGTAGTTAAGAAGCACTAACCAGAGACATTAGATATGGCCTTTAAAAAGCCAGTGATGACTTGAGGGAGAGACTTGCACCACCTGGGAGGTGTTCCAATTACAAAACAAAGCACTAGGTTGAGGAGACAGGTGAGCTTCTCGCCCCAAGATGGCCATGAAGAGGAAACTGTAAGAAGACCAGACCGAGGAAGGAGTCCTCCCCCACCTCCAGCGGCCCTACCAGTGTGGATGAGTGTATCCGAAGGTAAAGAGAGCGAGGAGGAGAATATCAAAGAGACAGAGGACGAAAGAGAGGATGAGGCAACTTCTTGAGATAGTCTGGGAAGAACAATGCAGGTAAGTGAAGTTGTTTGGAAATATTAGTTCCTTTGATTTAAAAGGGAGAGAACAAAAGGATGAATCAGATGCAGAAAACCTTTGAAACACAGAAAAGGACATATGAACGAAATTCTTGTGATAAATCCTATGTTCTCAGCAGATCTCACGACGGGATCAAACTGATCAGGAGAGGTTGTACTGATGAAGAATGTTAGAGTGTGAGGAGGCAAAATGGGGTCAAAAAGAGAAAAGTAAACTAATTATGAGCATGGAGGGGCCAACTAAATTGGAAATACATCTGAAAAGGAGCCAACTGGAAAGTTAGATTTTTTTTTCCCCCAACAGTACTTAGTAGAAAGAGACAAGGAACAGAAAAAGAAGTGGTTGGACTGATCTAATTTTGGAGGCGGGTAGCAAGTGACTACAGAATGTTCAAGTGGATTTACAATGGTGGGAAAAAGGAGCAGAAGTACCTAAGCAGGCTACAGAAGGTTGAGGGAACAGGCAGAGGTCAGAAAGAGGACACCGAGCAGAGTTAGAAGGGGAGGTGATTCTGTAGGAACCTAGGCCCACCTCCATAAGACACGTGTCTCTCAATATAAGAGAGGCACGATGAAAGCCAAATGGCCACTACAGACAGGATGACTTCAGAAATGTCATGACTGCAGGAGTCAGGTGAGTTCAAGGAAAGCTTCAGAGAGAAGGTGGTAGGACATGAGTCAGCTCCTAATGGGAAGGAGTCTGAGAGGCAAAGGGAAGGCTGGGAACACAGCATGTAAGTAAATTACAAAGGCAGGAGGAGCAGGATGTGTTGAAAGATGTAAGAAGCTGCCTGGCAGACACACAAAGCTCACACTCAGGAGTGAAGGGAAATGAACTTCAAAAGCCAGTTAAGAAGACTCTGAAAGGCCCTGGATGACAAGTTGCAGGGACTGAACCTATTCTTATGTCAAGAAGGAACTGGAAGTTATGCTTCAAACTACCCCCTCTTTGCACAGCAGGACTCAAAAGCAAGATCAACACCTTTGTAACCTAGAAACAAACCAAGACTCAGGGGTAGACCACTTACTAACTACCACGCTGGAAATCAACAGAGGTGGCCAGGTGTTTCATTCTTGGAGATACACAGGCCCAAAGTCACTGGTCTGAAACCAGGCTCTCCACCTGTGTGAGGAGGCTGAGAGAAACCACGACCTCTATCTCCAGGTCAGGGCTTACACAGAGCTGCATTCCTTCCTGAGAAGCAACCCGGGGACCAGCAACCCAGCCTGGGTCAGTAAGACCCAGAGAACCAGGGAGAGCCAATGAGAGATGAGAAATACTTAAGGTGAAGCATGTAACAGTTACCCCAATTTGATCAGTTCACAATTATACATATATCAAAACATCACAGTGAACTCCACAAATATATGTAATTATTATGTGTTAACCAAAGATAGGCTTTTAAAAAATGAAGCAAGCAGATCAGAGAAACAAAACAATAACAACAACAAAACTTCCCATCTGGGGCCGGGGATTTAGCTCAGCAGCATAAGCGCCTGCCTTGAAAGCACACAGTGAGTTTGATCCACAATACCAAAAACACAAAAAACAGGAAAACAAAAAAACCTTCCATCCAATATGAACCTACCAACAAAATTCCCTAACACAAAGTAAATGAATACTAAGAGAAGCAATAAAGCCTACAATCAGGTAACAAACTCTCACAGATTTAAATGCAAAAACAAAATAAGATCATCAAAATGACTTATCAAAATGCCCATTTAAAAAAAAGAAATAATGAAACAAAACCAGGCAGATCAAAATTACAACAAGTAATGAATTAGAAATGCTGGAAAAGATATAATCACTAAAATCGAAAGGGAAATGGATTGGAGATATACTCTAAAATGGACGTGTTAAATAGTGAACTGGAAATCAGTAGGACAAATTCAATCAAAATACAGGCAGAGTTCAGAAATTAAAAACTATAACAGAAAAAATAAGGAATATCAAGGATAGATTGAAAGGCTCCAACAAAGATTTAAGGAAGCACTGTAAAAGGAAAACAGGAGGAGGAGGCAGAAAGGTAATAACCAGAAGATAAAGGCTGAGAATTTTCCATTAAAAAAAAGTCCTCACACTGAACGCACCTGCTGAGGCCAGGCAGGATAAACTAAAATGAAACCGTACCTAAGCAGGTTACGGCAAAACTACAGAATTTCAAGGAAAAACAAAAATCTCGTAATAACAGGTTTTATTCTACAACTCCACCAGATTTTTAAACAAAGGCTTACATTAGGAACAGTTATTTTTAGTGGATTCTGGCAGTAGTGCAAATACAAACATTGAAGGACCAGAGGAATGCAGGTGGATGAATTAAACCAGGAGATATCTGTGTGGAGCTTTTAATCTGGCAGACAATGATGCATACATCTTGCTCCACTACAACACTGAGCACATGGTAGGGATGTAAATATTTTATATAGTATTTCTTAACTGGATAAGACTTTATACATATGTATAAAAGATTTACTTTTATTCCAAAAGGCAAGACTAAAATAAGACTGTTCTGTTGATCCAGCAGTGTTATTCATATTACTTAAGAAATAATATATAAATCTGAATAATGAAGACAATAATTCTGGTGCATTTGTGAATATAAATCAATTCTTGCCCATTACAAATTTCTGATCGACCTTGCCACTTAAAACAAGTTTTGTGTGTGAAAAGCCCTTTCAAATGAAGAGAATAAAAATAGCAGACAGGCTTTACACAAAGGAATTAATGGTAGCTGCTAAACTGGAAATTTAAATTACACTTAGGCATATCTGTAAACATTACACATAAATAGCTTATACACAAAGGTAAAAGCACCTGAACCAAGCAGATCTCAAAACAATTTGATGCTTTATCAAGTAAAAATCGCAAGTCTCCTCAAGAAGGTAACAAAACACACCCATGTCAAATGTGGTTCATTATTACTGAGATTGAGGTTTTGTTCTTGTTAGTGTTCCTCAGATGAAAAACTGTATAAAATCTAAGGCAATATCACAAGTGGTGAGATGAAAGTTTACAGCTATTTAAATATACAACAAAAAGTTTAAAAAACTAGCATTAATCTTTATTATTAAATATAGTATTTAATGATCAACTAAACAACTAAATTATCATTTTACAAATTAATTTTATAAAATTAAATTTTATTGAATTTACTATTTATAAATAATTTATTATTTTAGAAAACTATTCACAAAGACTCAATAAGTAATATGAATAAATATCACATTTAAAATCACAAGCGGTGATTGTGTATTTAAAACAGAATAGCAGAAAACAGTGGAAAAGGCATAAGGTTTAAATCAGGAGACGCTATTACATGCCATGGGAAAGTAGAGGCATTTTACTGGGAATGGATGTTCAAATACTCAGTAAGTAGTTTACTACTGTCACCAGTAACATTATTCCAAAGCAAGGATGGAATGTGCACTAATGCACAGGTTACTCACCCAGTGATTTTCATCAAACTGGGAATTTTGTGAAGCTGAATCCGGTATTTTTATTTTATTCTAAATTCCACTTTACACATCAGCAATTCCCTAAGATACATCTACACACTGCTTAATAATAGAACATATTCACAGGCTACTAAGATTATTCTTACACTACTCACACTTGAGACAGAGAACTCACCCAGTCTCCTCACCGATAAACCAGCCCAAACGGGCTGAGTACAACAAGGTCCACCGGCGCGGGAACAGAGAACTACCAGATTTAAACCAGATTTGACCATGGGATAAGACTGCTAAGGTAAACTAAGGATACCTACTACTTCACTTCAATTTTCCTGCAACTTTAAACCGAGCAAATATTTTAATTTTTTATTCCTTTTCATATCTAGTAACATGTTAGAAACTATAACATAAAGAACTTTATGAAATATCTGTACAAAGTAAGTTTAAAATTTGGAAGCAATCTGGAATATATGAACAACACGCAAATAAATGCTGGTGTTCATGCATGTAATAATGACACTACATGTGGCTAAGAATCAAGTACTCAATATTCAGCATGGAGGGAAACAGGAGTTAAAAAGGAAAACATTAGGTGGCTTCAATTTATTGAGAAGAGCTGTGCAGAGAAGGAAATAAATGTCTTTAAAGATGAGTAGCTAGTTTAAAAAAAAAAAAAGGTCAGGGGTCTTCCAAGAAAGGTTTTCCCAATCCAGGAGCAGGTGAGAACATAGCATGAGAAGAGGACAAGGAACACAATGTTTGGAGACAGAGAACATGCAAATGCACAGATACACCAGGGAACACAGTATGCAGGGCCTGAAAGTTCTACAAAGGAATTCAGGATTTTCTTTTTAGCCCTGTCATCACACTAATCATTTTTGAACAGGTGAATAATCAGCATTATCTGGCAATGCTTTGCCACACCATTCATTTGGGCACTGGGATGAACAATTAGGGCAAAAGACAAAATATTTATCATCTGTACCTTTAAAGAAAAAGCTTGCCAGACCTACTTTGAAGGATGAATTAAAGATGGAAAGAGACTAAATTAGGAAGATTATCAAAGATGCAAAGACACACATAAGGAATGAAGAAACAGCATAATAAAGAGAAATGGGGACTCTTCCAAAAACTGCGTTATCATTGATATAACCTACAGCCTTTACCACGAGAATATTCTCAGAAATATTCAAAGGTTAAAATATAACCATGAATGACAAAACCTAATGGAGGTTATTCAATAACTTTTAAGTCACAAAAAAAGATTTTAACAGGTGATATCCAATGCAGCTTTTTGAAGAAGTTACTGTAGGGTAGCTTATCATTACATATATTTAGAAACCCTATAGGCAAATACAATAAGACCTTGTTCTAAAAGACTGCTTCCCAAATGCAGTATTAGTATTATCCACAAAACAGAAGTGACAAAAATTACTGGTAACCAAACTGACTACATATGCATCCTTTATAAGAAAGCACACTGTTTTACAATTCCTAAAAAGCACACTGTTTTACCACTCCCAAAATGTTCACATTTTGTAAAACAGTAATAACTAAGGACCATAATTTTCTTTAGGTAGTTTTAATTTATAAAAATATCATTTAAAATCCATAATAAAATATACTAGCAATACTGACTATATACAAAGTGTGATCAATAGGTGAATGCTTGAATTTTTTAAAATTACTGTAATAAAGACACACTGCCATGAATACCCTCTAAATTACTCCATTTCTGAGGCTGGGGGCTTAGCTCAGTGGTATAAATGCCTGCCTGTCAAGTGCAAGTTCATGAGTTCAATCCCTGATACCAACAAAAAATACTCTACTTCCCATTGAATATACTTATCCTATTGTTATTCATTTTCTGAAGCAGTTGTGGAAACTCTCTTTCATGAGTGTCTTTATGAGGTGAGATTAAAAAAATACAGTGAATGCTGTTTCCAGGCACTATCCAATGGAAAGGGAAACACACAAAATAAGAGATGGTGTGTCTTCATCCACATTATTCATTGGACTTGTCATGGCGAAACTGCAACTTCTATCTCTTCCTCCAAGTCAAAATGACCATATGAGAAAGGTAAATATGTTGAGTCAATCCAAGACATCAAGGCATCAGTAACACTGCAGCTAAAAGAGAGGACTTCTAGAATTGTTTCTGAATGTGGCAAGACTGTTAAGAGAGGTGTGTCCAAAGTAAGGGGCAGTATTTTGTGGGGAATTAATAGCAACATGTCTTTTACTATAATAAATTTTTTAAAAATTGACATTCATCATTGTTATCATATTGAATACAACTATTTAATAGTGTCAGTACTATAATGTGTGTTGAAACCCAGAATAATCATTAAATAAGAATACCATTCTTCATGGATACCTGCCTATGCAGAAGCTGAGGACAACAAAGAAAGCTCAAGGGCATTCCACCCAGAGCTCCACCACATGACTGCCACAGTTATCTTCCCCACATCAGAGCCATCAAGTCACTCCCGCTTACAAAACTCCCAGGACACACACTAACTTCCCAGCTGAGCTTCAGTTTAACTTTACAGACTCATTTTCATGTAACTCCCAGCTTTAGCTACACAGGACTACTCAGCTGTTAGAACAGAAGTAGCTAATCATTATTGAGTGCTATCAATAAGCACTGCAGAATACTCCACATGAGCACTGACTTACCACTATTAAATATTGTGTCTACCTGATTACATAGATATATAATCATTACTACGACACAAGAGTTAATACTCCACACAGGTCAACAATCCCTTACAAGGTCAAATGTTTGCATAAAAACCTACAAAAAATAAATACTTGTATTCCGTAAGTTCTACAAAGTTGTTTGAGCTTCAAGACATCAAGGTAAGCACAATAGTGCAACACACACACACACACATACACACGATCTGCCTCTCATTATTACAATTCTCATTTTACTCAGAGTAAGACACTAGATAAATTGCCATTTTCTCCCTGAACAGAAGTGGCAGAGGTAGACTGTGAATGCAGATGTATGTGTCTTCAATAACCAACTTAACTAGAGTACTAAGAACTACAGTACTTCCGAATCTAAGAATCTAACTACACCTTGCTCTTGCTGTTCCCACTAAATAAAATGGCCATGCCTCCCCTTCTACTTTTATGCCTAGATCCCTAGTGGGGATCACCTTACAAAGCTCAAATAAAATATTACCCTTTCTTCACAGCTTCCCTGACCATTATTTACAAAATGAGACATCCATTAGATAGTCCTCTATTTTTACCTGTACAAAGACTGCCTTGCTGAGTCAAACTCACCTAGGTTCTAATTATGGCTCTTTTGCATATTTGCAGTACAATTATACACAAAATATCTCATATCCTTAAGATTTTTATCTTAAAACAAAACGTAATCATTCTTACTACATTTAAACATTCATTCCTTCTTTTATCCAATCCAAAGATACTTTCAAGATGTCTACTCTATACCAAGCACAAAGCCCAGAACTATGGAAACCAGAGATGTCATTTCTGTTTGTACATCATCATCATCTAGTGGACGTCGTCTAGTGGAGGATGTAATTCAGAGTGAGAACAGCATTACGACAAGACCAAGGTGGGACACAGAAGCTCATGGGGGAAGCACCATGACCTACACCGCCGGGGGTCAGGTAAGGACAAAGGAGATGATTAGCAACTCTATAAGTATCATAAAAATATAACATGGCAAATATTCAAGATAGATACCACAAGTCATTTCAATTTAATAAAATACTTCCACCCCACCTACACCCTAATTACATGTCCCTCATTTCTTAAGCATTTGAAAATTCCTCTGTCAGGGAGTGAAACTCATTTTTTACAGTAACTGGGTCGACAAAAATGAAACCTTATGCATTGCACTGGGCAGTGGAGATTGTGAGACTAGCACAGGAGGTCACATTAATAAAAATAAAATCTGACTGTTTCTTAGTATTCTGTCACAACCACAAGGATTCCTCAACGTTTATTCCTGTTTTCTGTGTGGAAGCATTTAATGACAGAACAAGGAAATCATTTTTACATTTTTCTGGGGGTTGAACTGCTGCAAAAAGTGAGAGAGCAATTGCAGCTTTCAAAAGAGATGCTAATTGTAGCTTTTAAAATATTAGACTCCCTCTAAACACCCGTCACCCTCCTCCCCAGGAATTTCTGGGTCTTTCTGAAAGGTACTGGGAGGATATTACCTTGTAGGCTTCATTTTCATCCCTAAGGATTTTAGAACATTTTTTTATTGAGTGATTAAGGGCATCCTAAGTTTAGCATCACCAAAAGGAGGCCAACTTTATCGGACAAAGAGCCCTTAACAATTAGAAAACCTGCAATGGAACATAAATGAAAACAACCCACAACCTTCTACTTTATTCCAGAGAGGGAACTGCCCGGTTCATTTGGACTCACTGCCAGCAAGGCAGCAGAGGGAGGGCTCGGCGTTTCCTATCCCAGAGGACCCCCTGGCAAGGTTAGAGGAGGGAGGGTCTGTCACGAGAGACCTGCATCTCCCTACTTTCAAGGGAAAATGTTTCTATGCGGGCAATTCTGTTTATAAATGCTTTTCTTTACCATGAGTTTACAAATTCAGGAGGGAGAAGCAGAGAGTAGCAGCAACTGCCCACACAGGCTGCTACTTTAAATTCAATTATTAGAAAATCACCCTTTTACAGCCAAAAGAAGAATATGGAGGAGGGAAGGTGAAGAGAAGTAACAAAATACCGGATGAGGCCAACACTAAGTTATATAAACATCACTGGGGAGTTGTCAACATCTGTCAAAGAAGCACCCACGCTGCTACCAACAATGAAGAAAACCAAGCCTGAAAATGTAGAACCCAATTCTTATCAAACTACCAATGCTTCTGGCATTGGGCTCCAACTGCGGATGACACAGAACCTTTACCAATGAAATCTGCAAAACACTTATATAATCATCCATAACACTTTTTCTGAAAATATAAAGATCTGCATTCTGACCCAAAAGAGAGGCTGATCCACAATCAGTATGACAGTACTAACAGATTTGCATGATTAGTAAACAGTTACAGAAAAGCTAAAGACGTTATCCTTTTGCATCCAATCAGCTGCAGAGATTTAAGTTTTTATGGTATACATCTACTCAATTTACTGAGATTAGAATCAGATTAGTGAGTAAGTGGGCCCACAGTTGGCCAGCACCCTAATCTAGTGCGTCCTAAGGAAAGGGGGCCCCAAAGCCCATTTCACTACAGTCTACTACTGGGCCACAAGCTGCATGTGCAGCAGCTCTTTTCCTTCTCCCTCATCATTGTCTCTGCAGAAAGTAGCCTCTCTGAATGAGCCTGAGGCACAGAATTGAGTGTGTAGAGTGTCAGGTCAGAAACTTTCAGGACATGGGTTTGCTTGTGCTCAAACGCAATCATTGTGTCTACCATGCTTCATGTTTCCCTGACATGTGGCATCGAGTTTGCCTTCTATTTGTCCTTTTTCCTATCAAATCAAAATTCACATTCCTACAGCTCTCAGAACTGCTTAGAGGAAATAAAATACTAAACTTATAGTAGGAAATTGGCCAAGGACTTTACCCTCACAGAGACTGTTGATCATTAAAAAAGGAGATTGGTAGTCTAAAGACCTAATTAATTAGTAAGGTATGTTTGGAGACCTTCTAACCTGTCTCTAGAAGGATCACTAGTCTATCATTTTTCTGATATTCTGCCTGCTCCTCCCTTTGTATCCCAACTATGTACCTCCAAGCCTATCTTATAAAGAGCCTCACTGCCACTTAAGTCTGGGTCAGTTTCTGGAAGAGGGCGCTAGAGCAATCAAGGGCCGGACACATAGTTCTAGAAAAATATTGTTTACTCAGCACTTTCCACATTTGAATACTCCACATCTAATCACTGGTGACATACTGATGTGGAAAAAGCCGCAACTCCTAATACTCCCACAATCAAAGCAAATGCTTTTGATTGCATCGATCTGCTACTGGCTTTGTACCAGATATCAGAGCAAGTTGGAAACTTAATTGGAAAGGAGTTCAAATCAACAGCATTCATATGAAGGGACAAAAGTTGTTTCTCTTTTAAGAGAGATCATTTAAAAAGAAGGGTAGGATAGAAAAAGAAAGAAGAAAACCCAGTTGAAACTTGGCGTTTACTTGATGAGGAGCCAGGAGAATGCAGAGCACAGAGTTTCACAGCACAGAGGGAGGCAGTGATCAGAAGGCTTCCTTGACACTATTCAGCTTCTTTGGTAGAAGCCTCTGGTGGGAAGGGAGGACACAAAAGTTGCCTTCAGGGTTCTGAGGATGAACAGGTGGTGTTGGGCAACTTACGGGGATGGACCGGCTCAGGAATCTCGCAGAAGAGGAAGAAAGCCCGGTGTAACAGGGCCGGATGATGGGGACATGCTCTTCGGTCTTGGCGCCGTGGGGACCAGGCTGGGTGTTCAGGTTGGCCCCACTGCCACTGTTGCTGCTTCGGTTGTACTGATTATTGTTGAGTTCAGGGTAGTTCCTGGCTGGTGGCTGGGAGCTGCCATTCAGGAGGTTGGTAAATGGGTTGGCCGTAAAAGCTGCCTTGGAGGGTGAGAGAATCTTCTTATTCTCAGGATCATCTGCTGCCGCATTCAGGTTCCCCAGAGAATTGGCTAGCCTGGAGTTTATGGCGAAGCTGGACAGAAAACAAGTGAGGAGGGAGAAACACGCACAACCATATAGACTCACGCAGAGTTTGTGTTCCTAAGACACATGCAACATTAGGGGAATGTGATAAGGTTGATTCTGATCAATGCAAAGGATGACATATGGCTTCCTCATCACCCTCAGTGATCTCAAGCACATGGCCATTGGTCATAAACATCAAATGTCTTGGTCAAATCAGTTAATTAGGACCCGAGATGCTGGCTAAACATTTTGCCTGGGTTCTATTTGTTCTGAGATATGAAGCAGATGGAAAGTATCATAAATGAAATGAAAGAGTTAAAACAGACTTAAATACAAGATGCAATTTATACATATTCTAGCACAGACTACATCAAATATCCCTATCAGTTTCAGTTCTGTCCTATATACATCAGGTGAGAAATGATAATACCATTTGTCATTCATATATGCTAGGGAACTCCAATGTTTGGATCACATTAAGCAAGCTGGAGATTCACCAAATGAAGGGGCTACTTTAACAGGGTTCTCCTGCCACTCAGCCTTGTCTCTGCAAGAAAGTCAGGAACACAAGTTCCAAATGTCAGCCCTTCGGGTTCCTCCCCTCCTCCCTGTCGCCTCCCTTCTCACCAAATAATAACCAAACACATTGCCTGCTACACCCAGTTAGCAAGTGGCAGAGCTGGGAGTTAGTATAAGTGTCAGAGTCCTACTTTTACTTCAAGCCAGTATCTTGGAAGAGGGAGAGGAAAATTACCTTCTTACACAGATGCCGGAAGACAATGCACCTCTGTTTATCCTCTTGGCTGTCACTGAAGGGGACAAAGCCACTTTTGGAGTCTTCAAAGTAGACACAGGTCCTTGTGGAGAAGAACTTGATCTTTGTGGAGCAAAATGGACAAAGTGTCATGCTAAGGCTGTGTTCTGTTAGACATTTAACATTGAGCTAGCACAAGACAACCAGTCAATCTTATTGAAATCATGGCAGGTTCTAGCAATGTGAGGAGCAGCAGCTGCCGACAGCTGTGCCATACTGATTGTGCCAGGCATGGCCAGGAACCCGGAAGGTGTTCACTCGGCTCATGCTCACAACAACCTGAGGAGGCCGTGAATATAGCTGTCCCCACTGCACCAGGAAGGAGACGGAGGCACAGAGAACAGCTGCTCCTCTAAAGTTACCTGGTTAGCAGGTGGCAGAGCTGGCACTGAACCCGAGATTCACAGTCCTTCCCTCATGGGTGATCCCGTCGTCCTTGTCCTCCTCCCTTGCTCTCTGGCAGGTCCTCAGGTGCTACCCAAACCCATACTCTCACTTCTACCCTGCAACTAGTCTAGGTGAGGCCACCTGACTTCTTATCTTTATCACTAGGATCATCTTTCAGTTTTCTTATTTAATAACTCACAACATGAATAGGCTTTGGTGAAATCTAAAATATTCAATCATGTCATGTCATTGTATTTTAATCTTCTCTCAGTGCCCATAAAGCCTAAACTCCATGGCCGAACCATCTGTCTCTTGCCTCTCTAAGCAGGTTCTGGTCTCCACTGCTTCCCACTAGACATCTCCACAGCAGCCACACAAAACACCTCAAGTTTCCAGAATGGACCGCATCCATATCTTTGTCCAGCTTATACATGCTGTTCCGCCAACCAGGACATCTCATTTCCTCGCTTCCTTTCCCTTCTCATCTTCCACCTCCAGCTGACATTTCTGCACCTACTGTTTCACGGCCAATCGGTCGACACTTCACACAGCAGCTCTTTACTGAAGTCCCAAAGCATGGCAAGCACCCTGTCTCATCATTGTACATTCTCAAAGTAAATCATAGACCTTTTACCATAGAAGCTCTTTTTCTCTCATTTCAATGTCCAGTGGCTGCTACACGGCCAGATTCAAAGCAGGTGCTCAATAACCATCTGCCCAGTGAATGCAAAGTGAATACTGGCTCAAATCTGGAAGGCCAAAGCCCAGTCATGCTTTTATTACCCATCTATATTATCTGGACAAATCATGTAATAGCTGGATTTTATTTTCCTATCTGCTCAAGAAGAGTTTATCTGCATGTAGGCACCTTCTTAACAACATTTCATGCCATGTTTTGCCTCAAAAGAAAAATGGGAAAAGTTGTACAGAGAAGCTTTTAGCCACTCATAATAGCCCCCCACTGAACAGTTTTAAACCTATGGACGAATAACGATGAGGAATCAAAGGCTGAATGGGGCTCTTTCTCCTATGCCATCAACTGTCTCTGCTCTCACCACACCCTATGGGATAGATCTTGGCACCACCTGGTACTGCTCTAAGGATATTCAGGGGACATTCTTCAGCTAATGTTTCCAACTGATGCTTCCTCCTCCAGTAGGAGATAAAGGAAGGAAATAAGACCACAAAATAAAGAAGTTGAACTAACAACACACAAAAAATAGGAAGAAAGAGAACAAATGAAATGAAAAAAAATCAAAAGAAACAGTATGTCTGCATTGAGAGGACAGCTGCAGAGCACCTGCAATTCACTAGAGACCCCACGATGTGCTGGGAGCACAGGGTACAGTGACATCAGCTTAGTAGCCCCACAGCCCTATGTGCACACCAGAAGACAAACTCCTCTGAATGGCAAGCATTAAAAAATAATACATATTGTAGTTATCTAAAACAGAAAAGAAGGAGCTTAAAAAGAGAAAAGCTTTGCACAGTTTTAGTTTTATCAACTTGAGTCTAAAAGATAACATGTATTCATTCACAAGCTACTATAAATTCAACCTTGTAAACAGTACCTGAGGGGCTGAGGATTTAGCTCAGTGGCATAAGTGCCTGCCTTGCAAGCAGGCACTCGTGAGTTTGATCCCTGGTACCGATAAAAAAAGAAAAAGACAAAAGAAAAAAAAAAAAACCAGTACCTGAAAGGCTGGAACACTGCTCTTGGGGGCCCTTTCACATCATCTGCCCTGCAGAAATCAAAGACAAGGACTCAGGCATCGCCAGGCTCACACATTTAAAGAAACACCAGAAGGCACATCACATGGAGTCAAATCAGTAAAGATATTCAATTGGTAAAAAAAAAAAAAAAAAAAAATCTTGCAAGTGGATATTTATGGACTTTATCAAATAAATCTGAGAACCAGCAGGAAGCCTATATTAGTCTTTTCATTTCAAGTTGAATGTCATTTATAGTATCTTGCTTTTTGTAATTAGAAATAACAGTAGTAGCATATCTACTCAAGAGTAAAAAAATACTTCATCATGCTATCATGATGCTGTTAAGAAACCTAAATCCCAAGAACTGAGAAAATATCTAAGCATTAAAAAGAAAACAGAAAAGGCATTATTAGAACTCACTTTTGAGATTTGTGCAAGGGAGAGTCATTTCTTTTGGCTATTTATTTGCAGTTATGCTTTTTTCCCTCATTTCCCCTAAAAATTCTTAAAAATCAAATATAAATCAGTTTGAAATTTAATTCAAATGAATTTTAAATATAAAGCAATTTCTCAAGACTTTGAAAGGAAAATAGTGAATAAATGTGGTAATATACACAGATCTTGAAAAATCTTCCACCAACTTAAAAAGACAATATATACAGTTTATATCATGAAAATAGCACAGATTTTGAATAGCACTGGGCCTGAATATCAGTTGTATTTCTAACTCGTTTCCATTGGGAAATGACAGAAGTTCTCTGACACTGAGCAACCAATTCAGATGTGGGTGATGATGCTGCATAACTTTTGTGATAACTCTATTAAATAAGGCTCCTATTCAAACTATGCACCACATATGGCTTCTGGTTGATAACAGGTGCTCAGTTAATGGTATTTTTCCTCACTCATGTACTGGTAGTTGGTGGTTATCACCAAGCACCAGGCTTCCTAGCCCATTTTGTCACTGTCCTATAGAAAATCATAACCTCAGTACAAACTTTCATTTCTTAGGTCAGCCAACTGTTACATGAAGATTCAGCCTGAATTAAATGTCCCCACATATGAAAACTAAATTCTTTGTGAACCCATCTGATATGTACAATATAGGCAAAACAACCCTTCTGCTATGCGAGTCCTCACAAGATAAGTAGTCAGTTGTTCCATTATATTCTTTGGTGGACTATGGTCTTTTTATTCCATACATTGCAATAAAGAATCTTACTATTTACAAAGTTTTTCACCTACACTTATCAGAAACCTTTCTTTTTTAAGAACTCAGTCTGAACTATCAGAAGATTTCAAATGCTATCATCAGAAATCAAGTTCCATCACTGATTTTGATGAGTATTTGCAGACTTCAAAACCATGATAGTTTATAACTTAACAAGTACACATAATACTCATTTATTTAACTCATTCTCGAAAACAGAAAGTAAAGGTAAGGAATTAATGGCTTTTATCAAAGCTTAGCATACAATACTTTGCTGCCATACACTGGCTTCAATACAAAATCCTTGGCACATCTGTGAGGATTTTCCACAAAACCATAAACAGTTTCGGAAGAAAGGCAGAATTCAAGGAGAACTTGGAAACAGTTTACTAGGGATAACTGCTTAGGAGCTTTGAAGTAGAATTCCTGAGAGTGAGATGTAGCAGTTGCTTTCAAAAACGCTTCTAAAATTAAACTATTTCCAGCACTGATAAAATATATATTAAACCAAAAAACAGTTATTAATCAAAAATCATGAAGTAAACTTGGTATTTGCAAAACTATGTTTGAAAGAGAGGATTAAATGTTCTATCCATAAATGGAAACACACTATGACTTTAAAAATTTTAAATGGATCTACCTAAATGCACTGGATGGTGAGGAGCGTGGCTGTCTCTGGCTTTTTAAGGCACGTAGTTTGTCTCCCTGGGTAATATTATTTTTCACTTCCACATCTTCATCTTCTTCTAAATTATTCTGGAAGAAAAAAATACACATTCCATAGAAAGGTCAGTATAATTTTACTTTATACAAATGTCTTAGATATATTTATATAATGTTAATATAGATTAAGTCACTTAAATGAGCTACAAACTCAGTATTTTTCAAATATACACTAAACAATGTTGAGCAATTTGCCACTGCATTCCAAATCAAAACATATGGGTACAGATGTGGTAATAGTTAAAAGCAGCTGCTTTTAACAATGGATCACAACCAGAGACTCTCATGTACACAGTCAAGCTATGGTACACAGCCTAACACACTGGCTCAACAGACAATACAAATATGTTCCCAATACTACCAAGACTACAAGATAAAATAACTGAAGCTATCTACAACAGTAATTTATTAACATCATTTAACACTAGTAAAAGCACTCAAATTCTTTCCAGGAGGAGTTACGGACCAATGTCACTGAATTGGGAAGATGCATTTCTTCCTAAAATTAGTTTGATCATTTGAAAAGCAGTCTGTTCGCACACCAGCTCAAGAGGAGAGGAGAGGACAGGAAGATAAAAAATGAAAATCATTCCTTCCACAACCAGGAGGCAACAGAAAATGGCCCACAATGGATTTTTAAAATACCAATATAAGCAAAGAATTTAAAAATATGGCAGTGAAAATAATAGTAAGATTTATTTAGAGGCTTGGAGATATAGAGAAGTGAGATACAGGATCAACATTTTTATTACTATATTTCAATAGTTTTAGTCATATATTATTTGAAAAAAAATTAATTTTAAAGAACATACAGTTAAAATTAATAGTATATTTAATAATTATAATTACATCTGTTTTTTTCTCATTCTATTGTGAATCTTAAAGGTCAAAATTTTTTGAAAACTAAGACACATCTCAAAAAACAGAAAATAAAATACTGTAACCCACTGCCACACACCTAATTACTTGGATTTAATGTACTTTACTCCCTTTCACTGCTTACTTAAACACTCCTCTCAAAGAAGACCACGACATAGATTATACAGGTCAGGTTTTCAATCTCTAGGGAAAAAGCTATACCTTTTTCTTTAAAAAAGAAAAGAAAAACAGGAAATGATTGTGTATGTGTGTTTACCATACTGTATTTGTCATAAGAAACAAAGTACAGATAAGCATAAAAATGTATTAAACTACCTGCATACTTGCCATCAAAAGTCAAACACATTTACACTGGCAGTAGTCTTCCCGAATTTTCCCTGTGCTACACAGCCTCCCCCGACTTACTTTTTACAAAAAAGTTGTGTTATACATTCTGCTTAGTAACTTATCTTTTCACTAAAAAAAAAAAAAAATACATTGTGGAAGTATTTCAGGACAAAAAAGGATTTCTACATTATCATTTTTATAGCCCATAAAATTCCATTGTCTAGGTAAGCCAAAATTTTATTATTTTGTAAGAACTCTGGGTCAGACTGTTCTGCCTTTTTTTACTAAAACAGCCTCAACAAATGCTCTTCTATATTCACATGTTTGTTGAGAAGTCTTATTCTTGCCCTAAGACAAATTCATGTTAGTAGAATTGCTAACTTCTTTTAAAGCTGTCTTCTACAAGTTAATAGATTGGCCTCTAAAATGGTTGCACCATTTAAACTCCAACTAGCAAAGTTTAACAGCTTTTTGTTCCCTAAGCCAGTGCCAACAATGTATATGTTTAACATTTTATAGGCAAAATAGTACCTCATAATTTCAATTTGTGTTTCTATCATTTCTAATGAAGTAGAACATTTCTTATGTTTAGCAGCTGAGAGCTTCCGTTTTGTTTTATTTGTGTACAAGGCATTCTCACATTGATTTGTAACAGTCCTATATGCACAAAAAACTGATTTGCATATGTTGCAAACATTTCCTCGCATTTTCTGACTGCAAGAGAATTGGTAATAGGAAAGAACAGGAGTAGAGAAGGTTAAGTGGTTACTACAGTGATCTGATGAGACGTCAAAGACTGGATTAGAGTTTGGGAAACTCCCTAGAAGTCAAGACTTAAGAAAGGGGGAAGAAGGGAAAAAAAATAAACATGCATTGTAAGTTTGAAGAAACCTACTGGAATATTATTATTTGTCTAAATCAATCTGCTCTTAGTTTATTTCGGTAGTTACTTATGAAGTTCAGGGTAGACTAAGACTATAAACCATAAGAGCATCAGTAAGTGATTATTATAATTACCTTCAAATTCCTGACAAAAATAGTTATACAATGTTATTCAAAACATATTTACATCAAATTACAGGAAAAAATGAAACTGAAAAGCTATATGGAAAAGGATTTTGGCTTCCTAAAACAGTAAATAAAACATACATACATGCACAGAAACAAGCTCGGAATTTATTGGAGAGAAACAACCCTAAAATATTGTATATACCAAGTCATAAGAGTCTGTAGGGGGGAAAAAGTGTATTAGAAAATGTATTTCCACACATAATATAAATCAATTTCATGAACTGTTGGACCAGGGCAATCTGAGACTCCTCTCATTTGGTGCTCTTAAGACTTCCTTCTGTATACCAACTTCAATCTTCATGATGACTAAAAATTCATTTGCAAATGACAAATATGAAGAAGCCAACCTGAAGCTCCAGCCCCCGTCCCTATAGAATAACAAGGCAAACTCACTGGCCTGAACTGGTCAGAAAGAAGCAGATTCAGAAACAAAACCACAAGACTACTGAAGAGCAATGATAAAGAAGCCTAGTAAAGGGAGTCCCTTGTATCTCTGTCCCCCAAAGGAAAGGGGTCTGCTCTCCCAGTGGAGGTCGAAGAATCAACAATCTTTCCTTCAGATACAAGATTATCCTCTATAAAGACAAGAAAGTCATGACAAATTAAAATACTTGAAGTAAAATTTTTAAAGATACACTTATTTACAGATGATGGTAGAGTTAAGAATAAATAATAGCATAAAGAATGAAGCTTTATCTTGCCTACTGTTCTTTCTACATAGACAACCTGAAAACCAAAATAAAATAAATTCTATCATATCTGAAGATTTCAGTTGAATAAAGTAATTGCTGCTCCATACATCAAATAAGAGGATGACAGAGAAAGCTACTGAGGAGGCTACAGAATGTGCCATGGAGAAATGATCTCTTAGACTTCTTGGTGACAGCCATCCTTTCTAAGGTAAGTAGAATCTCAGTGTCGTCTGAATTTGGCATTTCTCTAATGGCCAGCAATACTGAACATTTCTGCATTTCCTTATTGGCCATTTGTACATCTTCTTTGAAGTGTCTATTTCATTTGCTCATTTCTTGATTAGGTCTTTTATTTTGAGGGGGTCTAATTTTTTTAAGTTCTTTATATATCCTGGATAATACTCCTCCACTTGAGGAATAATTGGCAAGAAAATTTTACCACTTTGTTGGTTGTCTTTTTTGCTCTGTTGGTTGTTTCTTTTGCAGTGCAAACATCAACAACAAATACTGATGAAGGTGTCAGGGAAAAGGAACCCTTCTACATTGCTGGTAAGAATGTAAACCAGTACAACAACACTATGGAAATCAGCATGAAGATTCCTCAAAAACTAAAACTAGGACACCAGGAACCCCAACTCCGTCAGGGACCGGCTTATCTGGAGAAACACAGGCTGTGATGATAGCTACGAATGTGGAATGCCACTGGGTGCCTGTGGTGCTTTGGTGTTTCTCTAATTTTGCAGGTCTAAGGCCAGTGGTCTGATCATAGGTGCAGAGGACAGTAGTACACAGTGTGGCATCTAGAGGTGACCTCCTTCTGAGGATTATAGCCACTGTTGATTCCCTATGGTCATAAGTTCCATATCATTTCCATTGATTTACTGAGTTGGGTTTTATTCTCTTTTGTTTTGTTTGATTATGTTAAATCCAATGACAGGAGCAGCTATTTCAAAGGTAGCAAGATATATTATGGTAGCAATTTTGGATTTACTATAGGCTTGTTTTGAAGGCCTTTGTTGCATTCATTGTTTTGTTTTTATTGTTTCTATTCTGTTCTGTTCTGTTTGATTTTTCACTATGTCCAAAGTTATCTGCAGCTATTTTGAAGACATCAAAAGGTATTATAGGAACTATTCTTGATTTTGTAATGTTTTGAAGTCCTGTATCTCTTACACTGGTTTGTTTTAATTGGCTTCATTCTGTTTTATCCTCTTTAAAATAAAAAACTAAAACTAAAAATTCCATCTAACCATCTACTCATCTTTTAGACAGCTTTCCAAAATAGCTAGTTATCATATTACAGTTATACATGCATGCCCATGTTTATAGCAGCACAATTCATAATAGCTAAATCTTGGAAGCAATGTATCTGTTCATCAACTGACTGATTTAAAAATGTGATATTTAAATCTAGCGGAGTACTATTCTGCTACAAAGAAAGATAAACTTGAGATGGGTATAGAAAAATGGTTATGACTTTGAGTCCATAATGTTAAGTGAAATACATCAAACACATACACTTAAATATCACATAGTTTCTCTTATACTAGAAACCTAAATTATAAGGGCAAAATAAAAGACAGATAACAGGAAGCAGGGAGATAGATTTTTCTCAAATGGGAAGGGGATCAAGAAATGGAAGGAGAAACGAGGGAGGAAAGGGAAAGGAAATGAAAAAAAGGAATTGAGACATGTTATGTATATGAACCAACTACTCACAAGGAATGTAAACATAATGTACGATAAACATATACAGTACTAATAAAAATAAATTTCAAAAAGAAAAGATCTATTAGCTAAATTTTAACACTTGATGGAATAAAGATGAAAGAGAGATCATATAAAAATGAGATATAAAGTTTGAAATACAAATGAGTAAAAACAGAATTCAAAGAGTTAAGGGGCAGAAGTCAAAATTAAACTTTCCGCTAACTTAAATGACCTGGCTATGAAAGGTGGTTAGTTACCACTAAAGCTCTTTTCAACTCTCAGGTATTGAACACGTAAGATGTCAAAGCTGGGGAAAGGCAAGGATAATATCTCTATAATTACCTACTTCGGATCAACAGAAAGTTAGGATTTAGCACTGCCCTATCTGTCTTCTATGCTCCTTACTGCCACTGGCCTGGGCCTTGGAGACCTGGCCACTTCCCCATCACCACCTCCCTGGCCTCCCACCCAGATCCCCACGTGGACGACAGCACCCCTCACACTACAGCCAGGTCCCCAACCCACAGTGTACATTTGTATGCTGTCCTTCCAGGTATAAGGGCTCTGGAGGCTCTCCCGGCATTCCTGAGTCTAAGAAGGGGAAAAGGTGCATAAAAGTAAGGCCTTAGAAATTTGATTTGACCTCAAGGATTTTCTAAGGTACATCCTGTTTATAAATAAATGTCTGATGGATTTTCTAAATCACAGTATCTCAAAGATGTAATCAAAACACTATATTCTTGTCTACTTGGCTGTCAATTTAAGTGAACTTGGCTGAACATTAGCAGCATCTGGTTCTAATTAATATAGTGAAAGTCAAGAGCCTCTGCTGATTGGTGTGCTAATATTGGAACATAGCATTGAGTAAAATAAAAACTATTTTAATGATGGGAGAAGTGTATTAGAAGAATCTAGCTGAAGTTTTGTCCACAATTACTGGATATAAAGGTAAAGCCACACTGAAGTTATCATGGAGAGGTCATGGGCTATGGTGGGACAGCTGGGTTCAGATGACATCTCTGCCACATACTATACCATCTTGGATAGTTGGCTGACCTTTCTCTATCTCAATTATGTTGTCCCTAAACGGACCTCACACTAGTGACTGTGGCATATGGTTCTCATAAGGATTAAAGGACTTAGTCCATATCGAGTCCTGGCTATAGAGGGTGCTATAGAGGTGGCCGTTGTCACGTGAGTGCACCAAGCTCCTTATTTAACTCCAATATGTGCACTTTAAATAAAGTGCTTTAATTTCTATCTTCTTCAGGCCATTTTTTATAACTCCAATCCACAACAGACCCTCAAGCTCCTGAATGTCGAAATGAGCCCTTAATACTGGTACTATTTTGTATAAAGCAAATACTGTCCATGTGCAACTACATTATTATCAATTTCGTGCCTCTGTCCTTTTTTTCTTTTTTCTTTCTTTTTTTTTTTTTGCTCTGCAACTGTAATAGGTTCAGAAATAGAAATCATGATGAGAATAGGATACAAATGTCTACCATTCTAGATCATATCGTCTAGCAGACAAGAAAAAATCAGATCATGAAGGAAAAGCACAGAGCAAGGCAGGAGCTTGGATCAAGGAGCCTAAGGAGACACACAGGGGTTGTGTGTAGTTCACAGTGCCTATACCAGCACTGAGGACCCAGCTCAACAAAGGGAAAGCCTCTATATTTTAAGATTTCTCATAGCTCTGAGTGGGCTGGGAAAATTCATTAAAGCCCACATGTGAACCTTAATGTGCAATATTTTGCTTATTCCTTCACTGCACGTTCAAATTATCTAAATCGAGTCATTACAGAATATCCTAATAATTAATCACAAGAAAATGTTGGCAGGTCCAGAAAAGGAAAAGTAACAATAATTTAGAATCTCGACTCTCTATTTGTTTAAACACAACCTCTAGAGGAATAAGGCTTTTTTAACTTTATGTAAAAACTCTACAAATACAGAACTTGCATAGCCTTCCACCCAGCACTAACGTAGAACTCAAAACACAATGAAATCCTTATAGTATCCTTTATTTATTTTTTTCTTATAGTTGACAAGAACAGTAAGGCATATTTCTTATTGTAACTAACTTTTAAGAAAGTTAATTTCCCCTCTCCATGCACTGTTACATGGCTCGTGCCAGATCAACTTGGCAAAGAGTCTGAGTTACTCCCACAAAGCATGAACTACCTATGAAGTAGATACAACAGCACTTACTAATGGCTAAAGCTAAAGTATTTAGTAGGGTACCATGTTACCCATCGAAAGCCTCCCAAAATTCCTATGTTGAAATCCTAAGCCCTAAAGTGATGGCAGTAAGAGGTAGGACCTTTAGGTGTGAAGCAGGGTTCTCATAAATGGGATTCCTCCCCTTCTTGCCCCTTCGCCATGTAAGGAGATAGGAAGGAGATGCACTACTATCAGGAAGCAGCCTGAATCTGCCAGCATCTTGATCCTGAGTTTTCCAGCCTTCAAAACTCTAAGAAATACACTTCTGCCATTGATAAGCTACCTGGGGGTTTATGTATTTTGTTGCAGCAGCTGGAGCGGGCTATGACGGGATGTAGCCATGGGGTGGGGGTAGTAGAAAGGGTCAATATCTAACTAAATGCTTATATTTAAAACCGACGTATTTTCAGTTTCAATCATATTACATTCTTTACTCTTCCAGTAACGAATCGGTTATTATTTTCTTGGTACTAGGAACAGAACTCATGACCTTGCATTTGCCAGGCAGTCAGCCGCTTATGCCTCTGAGCTGTATTCTCAGCCCAAGTCAGTTTCTTTTAAACTTAGCAAAACTAAAAAAAAGTCTAAAAAGGGATAAAAGTGAAATATTCCAACTATCAGATATCAATCTAATAAAGATTATAATATAGAAGCCATTCTATTCTTGTAAGCATGTTCTTCAGAAAGAAAGTCAAATTTTATGTTTGTCTTTTCAGGGATCACAACTCAAAGCCCTAAGTGTTTTCAACTCAATCTGAAGAAAAATGTTGACAAGAACAAAAAACAAATGTTCCTCTTTAGCAATATTAGCCTTCAATTATTAGTTCCGATTCTTCCTGTTGGCTTTTAATAGGCCAGACTGTAATGCAGAGACAAAAAATAGTCAACAAACACTTTGAAAGCAACATGACCTTGGCTGAGATTTACATTTCATCAGGACAAATAACTCAAACAAGCAAACTTTGCCACTCTGAGGGCTGCTGTCCTGGAGAACATTCCAGGGGAAAAATTTCAGTTCAGTGGGCTCCACTCTTTGCCCTTGGAAAAAACTAACTCTGCCCGTCTCCAAGTGCATGGCCTCTCCTCACTGCTAAGAGAAATCTTTTGGGGACATGAAGTGCTGACCTAAGAGAGCTAGGTCATCTGTTCCACCAGACGCCTTAAAAACTATGGCTGAGCCACACCATTTGGTTCAAGGCCCAGATCTAACTGTAATGGGTCACTGACAGCATGTAAATCTATAGTTATTGCTTAATTTTTAACACTTTTTTTGTACCTTCTGCTTTAGGTATATAAAACTATAAACCAAATGCTCAGCTTCCCCTCAGGTACAAAATGATACAAAGATCTGAACTAGGAATTAGATATCTACTTCTCAAAGTGGCATCTCTACTGAACAATTCTGGAATTTTAGGTAAACCACAAATTTTGTAGGCCTCTAGGATCTTATCCATACAAGAAAAGAAATAGAACGAGTGATAACAAGCTTGCTTCTGGTTCCAAAAACACTCAAGTTACTTCCTGCTACTTCAGAGGTAGCAGGGAATAAAAAAAGAAAACAAACAAAAACAAAAAGTTTTGGATCAGAGAGACAGGGACTGAATTATGCTTTAATGGCGAGGTTAGACCATCACTGACACACAGTTCTTCCTATAAAATCAAGGAAATATTACCTAATTGCCCAGGTAGTTACAAAGGCTAAATCAGACTATATATAACAATTATTTGAAATGATTTGTTTGCAGTAAAACCTCAAAAAAATTGCCCCTAATTATGTTTTATAGGTGGATGATTCCACACCTCAAAATCTGGTCCTCTCAGCATTTAGAGAAAAGATACTGCTATGTCATACAAATGAAGAAGGTTAGAATATTCCTGGGGAAAACTCACCTCTCCAAATCTTTCCATGCTTTGGATTTTAGATATGTTTCCACCAATAGTCATATCATCCAAGCTAGAAAGAATTTTATTAATACTTCCTTCACTGGATGGTCTGTTTTTCAGTTTGGATCGGAAAATGTCACCTTGGACCCACAGTGATGCTTGTTTTCTGTTAAAAAGAAGAAAAAAACACTCTTTAAAATAAGCTACTACCATATCAAAATACAATCTCTTGAGAATGACTGGTAGAAAAACATTCACCAATCAGAGTACAAAGAACATAAAATTTTATAATAAAGAAAAATAAAACTTTATTAAAAATAAAATGGAGGAAGGGTAGCTCAGGTAGAATGCTTGCCTAACGTGAGTGCGGCCTTGGGTTCCATCCCCAGCATGCTAAAAATACAAATAAAAAATAAAAATACTTCCAAACACGTGTCTACATTACTATACATGATTTAATCAATAAGGACTTCAGAATAAAGACTGTGAGCCCATTTGTCTTTTAATGTGTATCTGAAATCTGTAAGATTATTTTTCAAGTAGCAACTTTGTGTTTATAAAATCTGGAATGAACTGGACTTGAAAACATAGGTGGAAGAACTTAAGTAGAAACAATACTCAAAGAGCACTAAATATGTACTTGTGTGAGGCATCAGGAGAGACCCTCAAAACATAACTTTAGAAACTCACTCTTATAGCCTTAAAAGCAAAGTTTACTGCCTAAACTAAATCAACTATAAACTTCTCTTAATTCAACAAGCCACAATGCAAATGTTTTCAAGGCTATCTAAAGAGAATTTAAAATTTGTACACAAAATAATAGTCTGTGGCTTCTATTTTTACTGGTAGAGCACCTTCTTGTATTTCTATAAAGGTGAATTATGCCATAGAATATTTTATTTCCATCCTTTACTGTACAAACTAGAATTAAAATAAACATTGTGATTCATCACAAGAAATATCAACATCCAGTAAAATAACAGCATTATCAAAGAGATACTATGAATAAAAACATGTCTTTTCAAATCATAGACAGACCAAGTAATGTTTTGTTTCAAAGGCTCAACATATTACATACAGTTCTGGTTTGTAACATGAGGAAAAGGGCAATTTAAAAACCCTTCCGTGAATGTTCCACTGGGCCGTTAGTAAAGGATATCTCTTCTTTTAAATAAAGTTCATGCTGAAATCAGAGTTATCAATATGGTTTATACTTTTGAAAGTCTTAAGAATTAATGCTTAAATCAAAGCAACATTCTACACTTGCAATACCGCCAATCATGCACATTTAAGTATCATTCTACAAAAATACACACTGTATAAGACCAAAAAGTGTTTATTGAAGAATTATTTGCAATAGCAAAATATTGGAGATACCTTGGTAGAAAGCTAGCTTATTAGATTATAGTAGATCGACAATATGACATATCACTAGCTGCTTAAAACCCTGTGACTGATCCTCACATGGGAGCACAAAGGACCATCCATGAAATAAAAGCATTAGTGAGTGAGAAATACAAATGACAGGGCACAGAAGGTGTGAGCCCACTGAAGGGGTTGCAATGTTTAAACAAAGTTCACATATCTAGAAGAATACATAATATTAACTAGTTACTCCTGAGAATGATGTTAGGGAAAACTCTGTCTACTAAATAATGTCTACACTATTTGAATTTGGGGGGGGGGACTCATTCACTTTTGTAAAGAAGTTATCTTAAAAAAAATAAAGATAAAATCAGAGCAAAGTTAACTAAGAATCAAAAAGAATCTTTTAAATTATTATAAAAGAGGGCAGTGAACGTATTTTTAATAACTGTTTATAAAGCATGTTCAGAAAACAGAATTACTGCAAAAATGTTAAATGCATAGGGTAGGAATGAATGGTTAGAGGTTTCCCTTTTTTAAAATAAATTACTCCATCCTGCTTTCAAGTACTTTATAAAGTAATTATTTCCTTTTCCTTTTTGCTTATTTTTAATTCTTTACAAGTAAAAAAAGAAAAGAAAAGCTCTTACATGATTTATCAACTTGTGTGTAATCCCCGTATTCTGGGGGACTGAGGCAGGAGGATCCCAAGTTAAAATCAAGCCTGAATAAGTTAGTGACTTAGTGAGACTCTGCCTCACAATAAAAATAAACAGGCTGGGGGTGTAGCGCAGTGTGAAGAATGTGGGTCCACTCCCCAGTACCACCACCTAACCACCCCCTAAAAACCTGACTTGTCACACAACTTAAGAGGCTATCGATGTTAATCTTTTGTCTGCATACAAGGCTAAGCATACTTTCCAACATTGTTCTAAAATTCAAAGTAGTTTAAACTAAAAAAAAATTCCGTATATTTCTAAGTATAAACTAGTGAGATGAGAATACTGTGACAAGTCAGTTAATTTTTCCACATTAGCTACAAAAATAAGGATTCAAAACAAGCTCCTAACACTTTTCTTGGTGCAAATGTTCATGGGATAGTCTCTCATATATTGCATCTTCAAAATTTCTTGCTTTCATTTCTTTTTAATATTGCAGCCTCTACTTACTGCCAACATCTAGCATACCTCATGATCTGATGGTTGACTCTCATGGCTTCCAAATGGAAGCAAAAAAATAGCATGGTCCTTGACAGAGAAAGGACAGTCTAAGAGATAACTGTTAATTAATACACAAATGTCTCAGGTCTCTAAGCTAAGCCTTTGAGTCAAAACGCTCAGTAACAGAGAACTACTACTACAAAGAAGAGGAGATTCAGCTTTATCCCACATGCCAAACAATTCAGGTAAATGAAACACACAAGAAATAAGCACAAGACTAAATCTTGTCCCTCAAGAATTTTTCAGTTTAGGATGAAAGAAGGAAACAACTGGAATCAAGTTGTTTCCAATGACCAAGATTTGTTGTTTCCTATGACCAAGATTTACAGAGGATCCTAGCAGAAGAGAGACCAATTCAACCTGAAAGATTAAATGAGAAACACTCTAAGAATCCAGAAATATAGTTCTGTACTACACATTGGGTGTTTCAGTCAATGTATGCAGATAGTCCCATAAGACTATAATGGAGCCAAAAGTTGCCTATTATCTCTTGGCATGATCACTGCAGTAATACCACAGGGAAACGCGTTACTTACATGTTTGTGATAATGCTGTGATACTAATCATAAAAAGCATAGCACATAATTACACTGAGCAATCTGAGGTAGCAGGATCACGAGATTAAGGCAAACCTGGGCTACACAGCAAGTCTGAGTCACAGCCTGACATACATGTCTCAAAAACCCAAAGTACAACAGCAAAAATCTACTGTGAAACATCATTATATGCCCTGTTACACTGGCAGCACCCTCACAGATGGCATGTTTACTGTGTCTCCTAGCTGCATCAAGAGACCACATGAAATGATTGACACATACCACCTAGGTTTATATAAATACACTGTCATGTTCACAAGATGACAAAACTACTAAGGACACCTTTCTTAGAATGTATCTCTGTCCCTAAGCAAGACATGTCTATGTCAGAAAGACAAACAAGGTTCAGCCAAAAATAGTTACCCCCAAGGCAAAGAAAGCAATGTGCATAGGTTGGAGAAATAGATATATAAAAAACAGTATATTTGGGGAACCAAGTGGTTTAATTTGGCTGCAGCAGGGGATATTAAAGAAACAGGAGAGACCCAACTCATGATTAGCCATACTGCCATGTTAAGAAATGTTAAATTTGATCCCCAAATAAAGGGAAGACCCTGTAAGTATCTTGAGGAAAAAAAAACCATGAAGTGGGAACAAAGACAGAGAACAAGGACCTAAGGGGCTAAGTTGAAAAAAAAATCCAATATCAAAGTAAGTTATAAAATGAATATTTGGATACTGCTGCCAGACTTCAGGTGAAAATTGTGAAGTGACAGCTTTCACTTGCTTGGTTTAAAAGACTCAGTCTCTCCCATCTCTGGAAAGACTTGATTTTGAACCCGAATATTAAAGATGAATAAGGTGTCAGTGCTGATTTCAGTGTTGCTAAGTGATACAAGGACTTCCTGAGGAAAAAGCCGCGCTTCACACAAATATCTTTTTATTGACTATGGAAATCCATTCTAGCTTTTATTGTGGTGTCTGTTATTCCTTAAAAGCCTCATCTGAAACAATAGACATAAGACAGGCATTTTTAAGTATTTAGCATTTAAACATAAAATCATATGAAGCTAATACATCTACTGAAAGTAGATGTATTCTGTACTATTTACTTTATTCTCCAATAAAATGGTGCATTTTCTAAGAGAGCACAAAATCTCTGACCCTCTGCTAATGGAATGCGCACTTTGAAGTGACAGGAAGATACAGGTCTGGGTTTGAACAAAGTCTTGAGAGACATTTCCAGGGATGGCTAATTGTTAGGGCTATGTCCCGGCCTTGGGTTGGTGAGTTTTGTACCCACCAAGCAGGAGACAGACGAAAATAACTAAATAACTTGGCTCCATTATAAGCCAGTTTGCAACTGGTTCTGATACAGAAACCTCATGTTTCCTTATAAATATCCTCTAATTAAACTTAAACCAGTTATGCTGTTATAAAAATTTTAGTTTTGAGTCCAGAGCACAGAGAAAGTCACTGTGAAGCTGCTTCTGCGTGTGGCTGGCTTGTCCTCCCTTGTTTCCTTCCAGTGAAACCAAAGTTACCTTTATATCATCCTAACTCTTCATCACTCTCTTCATCGCGGACACACTTCCCCCTGATGACCCTGTCCTGACCACAACGTCCATCGAAGCCCAATGTGCACATGACCCACTCTCCAGCATGGCGGAATCCTACTCCAGCTATGTCCTGGGCACCAGTCTGTCCTGTGTACCTACTACTCTACCATCTCTGGGTCATTATGGACACAGAGGTTGTTCCTAGCTTAAAGAATTGAGCTGATGAAATAGTATAACTTGATCTCAAAGGAACACAGATCAGAATCAGCAACCATGGTACAGGAGTTGAGAAAGAACATGTAAGAAGTTCTGTAAAGGTGAAATATAGGAGGGGGTTATTTTGACAAACATGCTGAAATACATCTTCAGCCCCATTTCTAACCCTTTTCATATACTTTTATTCAGAGGACAGGAAACAAACAAACAAATAGACTCAAGGTGAAGATACAGAGAAACTGGACCCTTCATGCATTGTTGGTGGAAATG